TTGATCTCTTTGAAAGTCACCTATGGGAGCCTTTTCCCACCCGCCTGCTCTGATTCTCCTCATTTTAGCTTTCTGGTGCTTATTGCTGTCCCGTGCCAGTACTGCACCTGTCCTCCACTCTCCACCCACATGGCTGTCCAGGTCGACTTCAGCATCCCTCCAAGACATGACTTCTCAAATCCGTGCGCTAGCGTCACACACTGCATACTGCGCCCATGAGAGTACCCCAAAACTTGCTAGGAGGGTAGTGTTAACGCTTTTTTGGAATGCATTTTAATCAACCTGGTATAAACATAATTTTAAAATAAAGTCACATTAAATGGGGGTGGAACTAAAATCCAATTTCCTTATACTTAAAACAAGTGGTCCAGACAAGCTGAGACCTGAGATCACTTCTAGAACTAATATGGGAGCTCCAAGGGGGCAAGAACTGTGTCATTGTACCATATCTGTCACACATAGCATATAATAGTTCTTCGATAGTATTTCAGGTGTGATTAATGAATAAATAGTGAGATTTTATAATTAAAAAATACCTGGGAATTGCCCTCCTATCTAATGACTCAATTTATAACAATGGTTCTTTCTGTTTCTAAATCCAATAATCCTCAAATGCTTTATGTTCCTGTCATAGGTTACCAGGTATCATCTTCCTGACCAAAATCCATGCACTTAGCACTGATTTCCATTCTCAGCGATGCAGTTGAGGGTAAGTTAGGAGACCATCAAAGGATGCCTGTTGATTGTCTCTCCTATGGGTTGAGGTCCTGCTGTTCTGAATATCAAAATCCACTTAGAATTTCCTTTGGAATTTCTTGAGGAAAGCCAACCTCTATTTGAAAAAAGACAACTTTTAAGTGATTTCTACCTTTTTTGGGGGGAGGGGGGCTGTTAATCTAGAAAAACTGAGGCACCAAGAAATAGGTATCCTCCTAGGTTTACTCTAATTCATGTCTATGTGCCTAACTGCAAAAGTATTTCAGTGTTTGTAGATGAAATTTAAAGAAGTCCTTTTAGCACTTCAATGATCATTGCATAGGAATTAAGAGGGATGACTAAACTCTGTCCGACAGCACTGTAATTGTGGAAGCAGAGCTCCATGACACTCCTTTAGCAGGTCCAGAATTTCGAAGCCCAGGGCAAGAGACTTTGCCTCATCCCAATTCTCTCTCTTGAAAAACATCTATTTCAGGGGCTGGCAAACAATTTTTATAAAGGGCTAGATAGTAAGTACAGTCGTGCATCACTTAACGATGGGGATATGTTCTGAGAAATGCATCGTTGTGTGAACATCATAGAGTGTACTTACACAAACCTGGATGGTATAGCCTGCTACACACCTAGGCTATATGGTACTACTCTTATAGGACCACCCTGTGGTCTGTGATTGATCAAAATGCTATGCAGCACATGACTGTATCTTACTTTGGGGGCCATTTGGTCTTTGTCACAACTACTCAACTCTCCTATTGCAGTGCCATAGGCAATAAATGAATGAATGAGCAAGGCTGTGTTTCAATAAAACTTTATTTACAAAAACTGGCAGCAGGGCTGGATTTGGTTCACAGGCCACAGTTGGCTGACCCCTGATTGATTGATCATTGAGTGCTGTGATGGATGGTAATTCCAACATATGGGGATTCTCATCCAACCTTTTTGTGTTTTTTGTAATATTTTGTTTTCTTTCTCATTACGAAAATGAGACATGATCATTGTAAACACACAAAAAAATAGAAAAGATAAAATAAAAATCATCTACAATGCCATCAGACATACATCACTTCTTAATATTGTGGGACATTTTGTTTGGTTTGGTTTGGTATCTTCTTTTATAGAATGAAGATAATGCTGTATAATACTGGAAGTGCAAATTTATCAAATTCTCTTATTTTTATGCTATTTCCTACATAAGTTTAGACTGATTTCACTAATTTCTACTTCATAGATTGACCTGTTTTTTCAGGAGCCATGAGGAACTCCAACAATATCACTTGTTCTCTCACATTTACAGTTAGGGACTATGGTGCTTGAGAAGGGAGCAGAAAGGATACTGCCCTGTGAACGCTGATAACACGGTCTTCCGAGGTCAGGGCATAGAACAACTCTGGAGAGAAGGGGCGTGGGTGTGTGTGTGGGTGGGTGTGTTTTGGGGAAACAACTTGTTACTAATTTAGTTTTCTGAGGCCCTTGTTAAAATCTGTATGTTATAAGCCCTTCAGGAAATTCTGTATAGGTAGTGTGCAGTCCAGGCTTTGAGAAGTACTGTGGGTTGATGGGGTTCAGGACATACTACCCCAAAATACGGCACCTTGGCATAATGAATACTTTAAGCTGAAGAAGTTTGAGAAAATAGAAGCAGGAAGGTCACTCTGACCTTCTCCCCATCATTCTCCCCTGAAACAGGTCATAAAACCCTCATGTGAGAGGCGCCCTTCCTACTCCCAGAGGACAGGAGCATCCTTATCTCCGAAGACAAAGGGATGCTGCCGAGAAGAATCGGAACAGGTCTTGCTGTTTCCCCCTGTTTCCTACACTAACCTCCCACTCCTTAACCCACCATATTCCCCCACGACTGCCTACTCTTCATCAATCCTCTCACAAAAATACCTGTCTAGCTGCTTCTTCGAGTCTCTATTCCCTTATGAAGTCTCCCACGTCATGTACAATTATATTAAATAAATTTGATTGCTTTTCGCCTGTTAATCTGTTTTTGTCAGTTTAATTTTAGACCCAGCTAGCAATCTCAAGAAAGTCAAGGAAAGTTTTTTCCTCCCCTACAGGGTATATCAGAGAGGCGAGCTCCGTACTGGAGGAGCTTCAACCATTCCTTCACTTCAGGTGACGACTCATTCTCCAACTCAGATGACACTCAGGCATCTGCCTCCTCCCCATTTTCTCATTGCTAACCTTGGGTATTTACCTAATCATCAGTATCCCTAACAGAGAATGTAGGAAGTTCTGATTTGAAAGGGTTTACAGGAGGTAATACGTAACACTCAATGCCTAAAACCACAGGTGTTTGGATTTTATGTGGCTTTCACATTTCATCGACCGCCCTTGTGTGTTCCTAAAATAAAGCCAAATATTTCTATTCTGTTGCTGAAAACGGGTGTACATATTGAGAAAAACAATAGGGAATCACAAAAAAGATTTTTGACACGAACGACCTAAGCCAGACACAAAGATAAAGAATTGAAATAAATGTGGGAAGTACCCGTTACTTTGTAGGGTGAAAGTTGTAAGTTGGACAGAGCTTTACTTTTGGGCTCATGTGAGATATTTGCTCAGCAAATTAGTAACACTAGGCAGCTGGAATGACAGTGTTTTTAATGTACAGAATTGATTTTTTGTAAGTACTTGGAAATCAGAGACTTGGAGTGGCATACAAACTTCGCCATCAATCGCCCTCTTCTGAGAGGCTGTTGCACCTCAGAGTAGCTTGCGACCACAGACACGCCCCTTCTCTCCTCTGCTTACACATCTGGGAAACAGGGCTAACGACAATATCCACCTCTGGGTTACTGGAAGGATAAAATTAGATAATTGATGTAAATCCTGGTGGCTAATTTAGGATGAATGCAGAATAAATGTTATTGTTTATAATAGAATCCATGAGGTTAATCACAAATTCTCCTCGACTATTAATTCTCGAAGGCCTTTTATTGACAATGTTTTACTTGCTATAGTTTTTCTGTATGTGTGGAAAAGTATTAAGACAATTACGCTATAAATTGCACCATTAAGTCATTTCAACTAGACTTCCCTCAAATTAATCCTAATTAGTGATGTTTACATGAAATTTCAATAGAAGTTAGAATGATGTTTGCTTTGCAATACCACTGGGAGGGAAAAATTAGTTTTCTTGTTTTTTTAAGAATAAATGGAGGAAATAATATAAAGTGAAGATGAAGTAAAGACTTCAAGCATTTATTCAATCATGTTGTGTGCTGCTTCTCAACAATGAAAATATCACTTACAATGCCTGGCAGAAGGAAGATCCCTCTAGGCTGGTACACCAAATAAGGAGAGAAAAGACAGAAAACTCAGTCTTTTTACTCTTAGGGGGCATCATGTTCATTAAAAAAAATTTTTTTTTAAATTAATCTCAACCCTGTTTCCAGAATTTTCAATAATTTCAGTATACCCTAAGAACACAAGACTCATCAATCATCTATTTAAATTGTTTAAGCAAGAAGGCTCAATTTGGGAGGGGTAAGGGGGAGTAGGTTGTTTCTATATTTGCAACATGGTTTATTATTTTCAAAAATCATTGGTGTTCTATCGCTTCTACTGGTGACATAATCCAAAAGGCTCCACTTGTAGAGAAATCAGAATTTCTCAAACTTGCCAACCCTAAGAGTCATCTGTTTAAACACACGGTCCTAGACAGTCTCAGCAAATGAGCATTTCTAATAAGTGACTCTAGTAATCAGAGAAGTTTGGGCAACACTTCTGAGCAGTGGTTCTCAGCCCTGACCATGTACTAGAATCTCCTGGAAAGCATAAAAAGTAGCAGCTGTAGCAGCAGCAACAACTGATGCCCAGGCTCCATCCTGACAAAGTAAATCAGCATCCCTGGCATCTCAGGCCCCATCCCCAGACCCCTCAAAGGCAATGTGCATTTGAACCAGCTCTTCTGGAATCTAGGTGCTCAAGGAAGGTTGACAAGGCTACGCTAGTGCCTATAACAGAACACATATCTCTCCAGCCTGGGGAGGATGGGTTTTTGCTCCCCCCCTCTTCCTCTTCCCACTGCATCATCAAGGACAAAAGCAGCTTAAAAATCTTTTCAGATGTCTTTTTCTTTATACTCTTGGCCATTGAAAGTCAACTGAAGAGGGCCAGGGTGAGGCAAACCCATCTGTTCCAAAACTATTTATTAAAGTATGTTAAACAGTATAATCTGCTCTCAATCAAATGCCCCAGCAAACTTTAATTGGCAGTTTGTTTCATGTCCCATAATCAAAACATTAAGGATCACTAGCATTCACATCCGTGAATTCATTTAGACAGTTTTCTTTAATTAACGATGAAGACACTACAGTTCTAAGTACCAGACAGAATTGGGGGGAGAAAAAACTGAAAATAAGCATAACACTACAAAGAAAACTTGGAAAAGTGAAACACTTCTAAATAAAAATATATACCTGGCCTGGTACCCAGTACATATATACATAATACATATGTTATACACATATATACAATAAATGTTTTGGTAGCAATACAGACCATGCATTGGTCCTTTTGTACACAGATGAAGTAGCACCATGAGCAGCACCACCATCTCAAGATGATAAACCAAACTGCACATACATTAAAGGAAAAAATATATACGTATTTCATTTGGCCCACCCTGTAGCCAAGAGGTGTAAGGAAAGAACCTTGTAAGAAAAATTGTTCTGGGAACTACATTCCTAAGCCAATAGCAAAGCTCGAAAAAGGAAAAACAACAGCACTAAAGATGTCTATACAAATACAGACAAGTTGTCCTGTTCACTGAATTTGTCCTATCATGTGGTATTTTGGTTAACACTGGGGAAATTAACAACAGAAGCAAAGAGAGAGATTTAAAGGCCAGCTGAAGTCTAAAACACCAGTTCTCTTGGTGTATATATCACAAATACCAAGTCATCAAACTAGGAAAGGAAGACAACTCTCCAGCTACATCACACGTTTTCTAATCTTATTAGCTAATTATAAGCTCTTTATTACTGATAAATTACTTAAGAATAGGGTCAAACACTTTCAGTATCATTCTACCTCCTCCAAGCACCTCAGGTGATGCTCTCATTACAAGCAGTGGGGGCCACCCATCATGCCAACTGACCTGCACCTTCTCTATCCACTCACAGGAGACTGATTTACAGAGCTATGGAAGGACCTCCAAGATCTTTTCTGGCTTGGCTTTGGAAATGACCAAAAGGCACCAGTGTTTAACCTTTGATGTTCCACTGACTGCAAGAAAGCTATTTTTGCTCTCCATAACTAAGTTCACAGACTGGAGGTCTTTCTCTTAGTATTGGCAAGGTCACATTTCCTAACATCCCTAGAAGTGCATGCTTCTTCCCCTCAAATTTTTCAGCAGCCTATATGAATGCAGCATTGCCTCCAACGAACAGACACAACATCCCAGGAATACTAACTCCCCTGTCAAGTCATTGCAAAGAAGCAATTTCGTATTTGGCTTCCATCCATTCTCCTTGGCATGCCTTCCAAAGGGTCCTGTCGCTCTCCAATCAAGGTCTTGATTCCCAGTGTCTCTGGTTTCCGCACCAACTTGTGTGATGGGCTACCTACCGAGCTCTCCCAAAGCAGTCAGAGCCCTTCACGTCTCTCCCATTTTTCACGGCTCTTTTGTCAGTGGACAGTGAGCTCACCTCCCCCCATTTTTAAACCACCTGCAGTAAACAAAATTAAAGTTTTCAACTACCTGGCATATAGCACTCAGGATGCAAGATTGAACAAAATGGGGCTTCAGTTTTGTAAACTAGTGTTTCTTACAGTAGAGTAAAATTGTCTCAATACTTTAAGTTTTTCAAATTTAAAAGACAACTAGGAGATAATAGTCAAGGAAAGAAAAATTAAAAATCTCTACTTCTGGCTAGATGATTTTTAGTAAATCCATTTTTACAGTCAACCTAGATTAGTCAAGAGAGTCCTTGACCTTTGAAAGTTAGCAAGAAATAGCCACAAAGGTAACATCAGTACTGAATTGTCATTATTGACTCAGGTGGTTGATCATTAATGGATTCTCTTCACTTCTAGCTGGTTCTAGGACCTTTTTTTTTTTTTCCCCAGAATGAAGATATCATCAAAGTCATGAAATCTATTTGTTCTTTCCACAAAGGAGAGTTTTAAAACTCTGCCTAAGTCTCCAAGAAAGAACACTGTGAAAGGTTGGTCTCATGAAGAAAAAACCACTAACTTACAGGTTAACCAGAGGTCACTAGAAGCCCCAGTAATGTAAGCCCTTGGCGGGTACAAATACTTTGAAATGGATAAAAGCCAGCACTCCTCAATAGGAAATGAACACGAGGACTTAGCAGCTGATGTTGCTCAAGGTCAACTCCTCAGGCAGCCAGACCATGAGTTTTTGCCTTAAATATCAGCAACTTCCAGTTTTAAATCAGTAAAATTTGATACCACCACCAAACCCAGCTCAGGGACCACTAGAAGCAGCTTAAATAAGAATTTCTCCCTGTGTTATTGGACTGAACAAAACATTAGAGAACTAGAAACCAAGCGATGGCTTTTCCAGTCTGTCACCTCCGTTCTCACTCAAAATATGTTGATAATTCCACATGCAGAGGTATCTCGGTAATACATATTCAAAGATTACGTTCCTTGAGAAATAATAACCAGTTTTACAGGAAAATGGTTGGGGCTGACTTTTTTCATTCATTTCTCTTTACTTATGTCCTCAATGGAAGAGAGCAGGAAGTTTGCTTTCTTTCTACACTAGCAAAAGTATGAGTCAGAATACTTGAAAAATGAAAGTGAATTTGACCAAGAAAGCCTTTTTATAAAGGAGTAAAAAAAACAACTTTCATATCAGATTTTTTAAATTGGTAGTGTTCTCTCCTAGTAGGAAATGATGTAATTCAGCCAGTGCCTTGAAAACAATGGACTCTTATGACTACAGACCTATTTATCTTAGAAATTGATGAGCATGCAAATGGTTAGGATCTGCAACAATGAACATCGTACAACAGTCTGTGAGGTACTTGCCACCCAGTTGCATTAACAGTAGCACAGGCCCCAGCAGGTTGAGGGGTTCCATTGATTTCCACTCCCTTTTGAGTAGAGCAGGGGTCCCCGAACAGTTGATGAGGGGCAGCAGCCACTGCGATGTCCCCCAACCCTGGCCCCTTTCCTTGAAACTCCTCCCCCACCCAGGGAGCTCAACCCTTCAGGGAAATAAAATGTTGCTCCTCTCAACAGTAGGGCTGGAAATTCCTGATAGCAAATTTATGCAGACTCTGAGGGAGCCTGATATTGGCATTAATTCACTTAACCTTTAGGAAGTTTCCTGGTAAAAAGATGAAAAACTCTAGGCAATATCTGTTAGTATGTTCATTGCCATTTCTTTTTCACAAGGAAAAATTCCAACGTGTGTGTACTGTCCAAACAAGAAAAGGATTAACATTTTCACTGCTGGCTAGATGTTTCCATAACAGGTCATTATGCTTTGATGTGCTCTCTGTACACTGGGTTTTATTAATGAGTCACTAATAGGTCAGTACCCACCAGGACAAATGGACCAAATCACATTGGGTTAATATTCTAACACCGGAAGTTTTCCAAAAACATGAGATAAGAGTCTTAAGGAAAGTGACGTGTAGCCCTGGTCATGATGAAAAACACTGTCTGGAATTTTAATTTCTGGTTAGAAATTAAAGACAAGTACTCACTTGTCTTAGCATCTTTCTTGAGACAATGCAGGAAATGAAATAACCTAATGTGTGCACAGAAAAAAATGGTGGTAATGGATCAGGAAGCTTACAGAAGTCGGGGGAGGGGGAGAAGAAAAGATCAACAGTCTCTAGTTTATTATGAATAGAAAGAAATTTCCAGAATTTACAAACACCCACATTGTTCATTCCAAAGAGAGCTTTTGATTTGAAGGAATCACCATGTCTCCTCCTCTTTACAGTATATACAATGGAAGACTTTGATCTCCTTTTCTTACAATTTTGCTTCCATTCAATTGCCAATTTTAAGCTGACACTTGAAAACACCCAGTAGAATATATCCTTCTTCAGTTTAATTAATATGGCCTATTGCCTTACAGGAAAAATACAAAATTAAGATGAATTCTTGTAAGGATCTCAGCTCAACATCAGGGCTATATTACAAGAGATAGTATCAGCAAATAAATCTATACAATTGAGAACCATCTATGGCACTAGGATTCTTATTATATTATTTTTCTGAATTACAATCTTAAAACAAGGTTCGTACCCTATCTGTACCTGTTAGCCTTGTTTTAAGCATCTGCTCCACTCTTTACAGAACATTGTATACCTCAGTTCCACATCCAAAAAAAAGATGTGCTGTAAGAAATGTTCCATTTTAATTAAAAAAATTACACATATAAATCAAAACCTATGTTAAATATTTAATACTCTCTCCACCCAACGTGAACAGTTTTGAATGAAATAATTTACAATGATGCTTTGTCGTACACAGTTTCAGCAGCAGATGAAATAAACGTATCTTGTAAATGCAATGAGAGTGAACCCATTCTCTCGTGGCATGGTGGTGGGCCCAACAGCTCACATGGCCAGCTAAGTCCTTAAGGTTGAAGATGAAGTTTATGCAGACTCATTGTTCTGGTGTCACAGTGCTTTTTTGCTTGGCACAATATAGAACGTGCAGTTCAGTCAACGAACTCCTGAGGATTGTTATAAAGTAAACAAACTGAAATGGATGCATCGTACCATCTACTGAGGAGGAAGATGTGAGGTCCTGGTTGTGAATCATGACATATTTAGAGTCTGGGTACCCATGAGTTAAAGGAGGATTTGCTGAGGTCATTTAGGTCTTCATTCTGAAAAAGAAAAAGAAAAACTTTGTCACCATAGCATCTTAAAATGCATCACTTTTTTAGGATTCTTTTTTTAAACATATGAAGTATTTTGTTTTGTTTTGTTTTGTTTTGCAGGAAAGATTCACCCTGAGCTAGCATCTGCTGCCAAGCTTTCTCTCTTTTGTTTTTTCCTCCCCAAAGCCCCAGTGCATAGCTGTATATTCTAGTTGTAAGTCTTTCTAGTTCTTCTATGTGCCACTGCCACAGCATGGCAACTGACAGGCAGGTGGTATGGTTCCACAACTGGGAAACGAACCTGGGCTGCTGAAGCAGTGAGAGCGCCGAACTTTAACCACTAGGCCACCAGGGCCAGCTCATTAGGATTTTCCATTAAAAAGGGGGCAGTTATCAGATAAACTGAAGTTACAGCACAAACAGTACTGTGTGCTTAAATAAAATCAACAAACTGTATTTAATTTTTTTTCTTTCAAAACACAAGAGTCTAAAGCAATCACAAATTCGAAATAGTCAATATTACACCAGTAAACAAATCGATATGATCTGGAGGTTTCGGAGGTTCAGCGGCACGAAAATACAAAATGCTTTCGTGTTCTTAAGATCAAAGCAAAAATGGACATTACAGTTATTGTGTCAAACTACTACAAAATATAGTAAGCAGGTTACAGTCAGGTTAGGCTTAACCTTCTTTTGGTTAAAAGTCAACTGCAGATTTTAGAATGTGAAGTTGCAGGGCCTAACATTACAAAATCTGAAATCAGTTTTTGACGTGACATTGTTTGCCGTGAGAATTTTAGATGCAAAAGGAGATCCAAGTGAAACAGACCTAGTTAATCATTAAATAAAAAAAGAAAGGGATTCTGATTTAGATCTACTAGAAATAAGTTACTCTGGCAGAAACACAACATTTCTTCCATGTAATTCAAGAAGGCCGACCTCAGGGAGCATTATTCATTCCCCTCCAGAGAGGGAACACCTTTCAACCTCATAAAACCTCTTTTGCTCTCAAGTATTACACTAGACAGTCCTTCTGAGGTCTATATTTTTCATGTATTCAAAGTTATCTATAAATATCAATATTTATAGAACGCCCTGAACAGTATGTGGCACGGAGCCATCAATAAAAACGTGTTGAGTGAGTAAATGGTTGCGTTAAGTACCATGGAGGACACAAAGTTGAATTCTGCTACAGGCCCTGCTTTCTAGAAATTCTAGAAAGGAAACTAAGCTCTGTTCATAAATAGAATACAAAGTAAAAAGGGGGTGAATTCCATGATAGAAGCCCAGGAAAGAAGCTCTAGATGCACAGAGGAGGGCAAGAAACTTTCTAGCTAAGAGTATGAGGGAAGTACCTTGCTGACACACCTGGCTTGGTTTGGAAGAAAAGGAATAGTTTGGGGATGTGGGAACAGGGACTGTATCTATGTTGCTTCAGTGTTGTGTCTCCAGAGCTTAGCACAAAGGCTGGCACATAGCAAGGACTCAATAAATATGAATTGAATGATAGGGACAAAGCACACTCCTCATTGAGAGCACATGACAAAACAAGGCCCAGGGGCATGAGAGCACAGGCATGGACTGGCCGAGTGAAGAAGGTGGTTTGCTGGAGCACGTGGTATCTGAAAAGGCGTAGAAGGAGTTAAGTCTAGAAATGTAGGCTGGGGTAGCTGGTGAACAACCTTGAACGTCAGGTCAAGACATTTTTATCTAAGTGTAGGGACAACAAAGACATGCTTTGTGATGTGATTGAAGTGCAGCAGTAATAATCCACATCAGCTACAAGGATAGCGACGGATTCTGAAATGCACACAGTAAATGTTGACCAATATAGTTTTTTCTCTCTCTCTCCTCTTGAAAGCAGGGGATGGCCAGGATCAGTCAGTATCCACTATTTACATAATGGCTTTCAGGTAAGTTGAAACTTACCAAATGAGGAGTCTAGTTTTACGAGTAGGTTTCTGTTTATTTTAAAATATTGACTCCGCCCCTAAACAACAGTCTATTTTTTCACTTACAGATAAAGACTCGACACGTAGACACCAATGTCAAGACAAAAAGGCACTCCAGGCATCTATTTCATTGCCAGAGAAACAGGGTTTACTTTGCAGGGTTTCTACAAGTGAGAGGAAAATGCATTCTTTGAAAAACCCCAGAGAACCATCTCCAGGTCTCTTTATTTTCAAGTTTCTCCTGAACCCATATTGTGATCTATCAGAATGTTCCTACCAGAATATCTAGATACAGCTTAACACAGCTTCACTGCTCTGAATTACTGGGCTTAAAATTAGGTAGAAAGGCCTTACTTTATTCTAAGGGCTGAGACAAACAAACTTATGAATACAAAATGGGGAAAAAGTGAAGGTCACACTCATGCTTTCATTTTATATCTGGCTCTCATTCAGAATGGCTGAATGACAGCTTAGCACAGGAACAAACTGTATCCAGTTTTGGCCTTGAGCTAACATCCATTGCCAATCTTCCTCAAGATTGTCCCTGAGCCAGCATCTATGCCCATCTTCCTCTATTTTGTATACGGGACGCCACCACAGCGTGGCTTGATGAGCAAGGCATAGGTCTATGCCAGGGATCCGAACCTGCAAACCCCAGGCCACTGAAGTGGAGCATGCGAACTTAACCATTATGCCACCAGGCGGGCCCCAAACTGTATCCAGTTTTGTCATCACATGTGCCAACCTGCACAGAAGCAGTAGGGCAGAGATTGAGGGCCCTATGAGGAGAAAGAAAAATATGATTTCACCAGATGCTGAAATGTATTCCTTTGGGACACTCTGAAAACATCCCTGTAATTTTCCACAAGCACGCATGTTCAAAGAGCAGGAAATAAAAGCTCTTTATCATAAATCCTGATCAACACCTGTCTCAGCCACTAATGCTACCTACTGGTGCCATCAACTTAGGAGTCTATGAACAAGTGAAAGCAAGTGGGAAGTGGGAGGTGACGCTGACATGGAGGAGATGGGAACAGAAGGCTAAATAAACAGGCAGTAGAGGCCAGGAAAAATGTAAAGGGAAAGTCTGAAGTTCACATCTGTTTATCTTTGTACAAGGGTGTGTGTGTGTGTGTGTGTGTGTGTTTACACAAAGTTCAGCTACTGAGTAAATGACATGGATTTTTAACAGGCATCCATCAATGAGAACTGCCCTTCATTGCAGCCACCTTGGGGTCCACATACTTATCCCGATCATGCAGCCATCGTTTGAAGCATTTTTGGAATGCCTTCTCAAGTTCCCACTCGTTTTTTGCAATGGCCTTCTCAGCCTTGGGCATCTTCTTTTGAAAGGTCTCTAGAGCAGCCAGCCTAGGCCCTTTGAGGGCACATTTGATCTTTAGAGACAGCCAAAAAGCTTTGAGAGCCAAATATGGTGAATAAAGGGGCTGATTAAGCTGGGAAAAGGTTCCCAGCCAGGTATTTTCTACAGCCAAAACTACAGTTCCAAAAACATGGCTGTTCACAATTGCTCTGATGACTTTTGTTGGAAACGAACTCTCATACTGTGATAGCCCTTTGCACATGCTTCATGGGACTTAAGTTCGTCTGCCTATGCCCGCCTCTACATGATTGCAATCAAGAAGGGTGGGCTGGAATAAAGCAACTTAAAGAAAGGCAAACATGTATATCATACGTTTTTGTAATTTAGGAATACGTTTTAAAAAAAATAGCAATACCCATACTAGGCTACTGCAGTCATCCAAGTCAATAAATATCTGTGGAGTGACAAATACAAATGCAATGATAAAGACTATTATAAGCACTGAACAGGAAGTTTGGTTGAACGCACTTTATATATATAACCCCAATTGACTCCAACCAACCGTGTGAGGCAAATATTGCTACAACGTTTTACAAATACAAAAAACTCATTTGTAACTCAAAACAAAAAAGCAAAACATTTCCTTGGAGAAGAGCTGTGTAAATATCAAATGGGGATGTTCCTGTGATACCTTCTCTCTAGTTACATCATTGGGGAATAACTTCGGAACTCAGAAATATGATGCACCTGTCACGAGATTTAATAGCAGGAAATTATATTTTGACAAAATTTCATCACCACATCAGCATCCACTGTAGTCTTCGTGTGTCTTCTCGTAAGATAAAACCCACCTAATCCAGCGGCCAGTAATGAAAAATGTAATTTTTAAAGCATTATCAAATAAGTCAACACTTGAGCAACGCTACTTGAGACCTACGGATTATTGCATTATTGCATCCGGTAGGAATTTACATCTTCTGGACCAAACCCACATAAACTATGCCTACTAGAGCTGAAAACAAATACCGCGTCGCCCTCCATTCACACTGTCTCAGCCTACTGATTAGTCCTCACTGGGGAAGCAGCTGAAAATAGTATAATGTTATGCTATAAAAACAATAGAGGAATCCGCTCCCTTTCGGCAATGCCTTTTAGTCAAAACCATTGATTAAAAGTTTTTATCTTGTATTTAAATGCCTTGACACTTCCTGCCAATTTGCTGAGTCAAGTGCAACATAGTTACAAATATCTGGTTAGAGCATTACTAACAGTTTCTACTGTTACTAAGAAAATAGCAGTGAAATATTATAATTTGCTTGGCTATCATCATGTACAAAAACGTAGCCAGAAAATAGCTCTTCCTGGTCCACCTCTGCCTGAAAACAATGCCTACAGTAATGACTTTTCTTCTCTGGAGATCATTGTTTGTAATCCTATATTGTAGATTCAACTAGAAAAATTCATATAAATAAATTCCTCCACTTAAAGCAATGTCACAAAAGCATATTCCTCTTTCTCTTAACATAAACAGCTGTGACTTAAAAAAATTCTTGAGGGGCTGGCCCCGTGGCCGAGTGGTTAAGTTCGCACGCTCCGCTGCAGGCGGCCCAGTGTTTCGTTGGTTTGAATCCTGGGCGCGGACATGGCACTGCTCATCAGACCACGCTGAGGCGGCGTCCCACATGCCACAACTAAAAGGACCCACAACGAAGAATATACAACTATGTACA